GAAGAGGGGGGGAGGTTGTTGAGTTGCCCCTGGAAACCGCTCTGAGGTGAGGCCTGGCCGAGATGCGAGTGGTTCTGTCAGAGTGCTTGGCCTGCGGAGAGAGGGGAGAGCAGAACAAAACAGCCGCCAACTTTCTCTTCCATGTCTGTAGAACCCGCCTGGACGCGGGTTCTGTGTGTTCTGTTCCTGTGTGGCTGCCCGGGGGATCCTGCTCTGGCAGGGGGCTAGACAAGATGATCTCTAGAGGCCCCTTCCCACTCCCAGCGTTCTGTGATGCTGTGGTGGTTCAAATGACTGAATCGATTGGGATTTGCAGTTACCACCCCCCCGCCCCCAAGCTTATTGGGGAAATATATTCAGCCTTTATTCGGTTTTATTCTGCTCTCATCTGTTTCCTTCCTTTTCTGTATTTTGTGGGGACTGGAATAGATTTTTATCTTGTCTCGATGTAAAAAATGACTTTTTTTTTTTCTACAGTGAGAACAACCTCCCCGTGGAGGTGGTAGAGTCTTCATCACTAGAGCTTTTCAAGGCACAACTGGGCAGGGTGCTAGATAATCTCACTTGGGCTTCCTTGCCTACAAATAGTTGGATGAGATGGTCTTTCAGGGTCCCTTCCAACCTGGCCTGTCCAGAGATTCTGTGATTTTTACCAGTTAACATGTATTAATGTGCTTTCAAAGGTTATTTTTTTACTTAAAACAGAGGGTTAACAAGAAGGCAGAAGTGGAGGATGGATAAATATTTCTATTTAACATACTTGGAATGGAAGAGGATGTATATAGTTAGTTCTGCTTGAATATAGTAGGTGGCAGCAGCATCAGATGATACTGAATTACCTTCCCATAACGAAAAATGAGGTTTAGACTGAAGCTTGTGAAAGTTTTTCAGAAAAAAAACCCAAAACTAATGTAAGATCTAAAAAAAAGAGTAAGTTTCTCATCATGGGAGAAAAAAATCCCAGCCCACTCTATTCAAGTAGAACTAACCGTTTACGTACTCTCTCCTTCCAAAACCCCAGTAAACAATAATAATAATAAAAAAACCAACACCACCAGAAGGTCTTTGAAAGTATTGAAAAATACTATCAGAATATGCATTTGTGGATTTTTTCCCTATACTAACATGATTGCTTTGCTTTTCTAATTTATATTTCAGTCCTTTGTACATTCAGCGTTTCAAAACAAAATGTTAATGTTCTGTAGGCATTATTTAATATCTGATACAGTAATACTGGTGTCACTTGTCATTACTTTTTTTAAAGTAATGAATTGAGTAGGCAGATTGGGCCTGATAATCGCTGAACTGGCAAGTACCATAGTTCAGTGTAGCATTTTGCTGACTTAGAAGCTTGCATCTACAGGTATTATACCATGCTTGTACGATCTTAGGTGTGGTCTTGTATCTTAGCTACTTATTATTTCTAAGCTGGGACACAATAGTGTATAAATGGTGCTGTGTAATGCTTCTGCATGTGAGTGGACTTGTGTCCAGTTAGCATGGCATTTCTGCACTGTGTCCTCGGGACTTCTGATTCCTTGAACTCCTGGAGACCATGCTTCAGCTTTCTGAATCTGATACAGCTGGAAGATTATCATCCATGTTTAAATATTATCTGAATGATAAAGCTGTGAACAATTTCATGAGTTTTTTTTGTTATTTTAAGTTGGAAACTTAGGTTACTGTGTGGAGACTGAAAGCACCTTTAGTTCATACAAACTCTTATCTTAAGCACGGAGGGACTTGAAAGTTCCCAGTGTATTTAAGAAACAGATTTGCAACTTGGTTGCATGGTAAGGGCCTTCAGAGTCAAAATATGTAGAAAACACGTATTTGAGTGTTTATGAGGACAAGGTCTAAGCCTCTTCTAAGTAACTTTTTTCTGATGGCCGTAAGAATTAGACCCCACTTTTTTTAGGTTTTGAGGCTCTGAAGTTCTACTTTACCTCTTGGCGCAATAGGAGGGTTACGTCATGTACCTCCTATATGGAATACCTGTAACCATTAGTGTTTCCTTCATGACAATTGTTTTTTAATTACTTCAGGTCTTAGGAGGGTGTCGGTTCAATTAGACTGAGTTGTGATTATCTACTTCCTGCCACTTTCTTCAGAGACCCCCAAGTTTTTAGATTTAAATGCTGTACTTACACCCGAGCTATGCAAACCTATATATAAGAACTCATGCTGCTGCTAAAAGAAGCTGTTGTAGCCATTTAAAATGTTTATGCCAACTAGGAGTGGTGTGACTGCTGTGAAATAGAACAAGACATTGATCTGAGTTAAAACTGAGGCAAGTCCTTCTGCTCTTCCTTTTTCTCTGGCTTGGTGGGACAGAGTTTTGGCAACTGTGCTGTGCTAATGTTTATGCAGGTTTAAAGCCTGTACCTTGGCTATGTTCATACTTGCTAGATTCTGTGTAGAAGTCAGCTTAGCAAGCAGTTACTGCGCTGTAGTTATGTAGTGTAGTGGCTTTGGAAGACTTACTGTCTTCTAGAAAAGAGAAGAACTTCTCTTGCTAGTGCAGAGAGAATTGTTCTTTCCAGGTGTGTGCATTGAGTCATTCTAGTGTTATTCAGCCGTTCAGAAGTCATAAACTTGCCTCAGAGATGGCAAAATACGATTATTTCAATGTGTATACCCAGTGATTCCCATAACGAGAGACTACTTCATGCTCATTTCCATTGTGCAAAGTATTTCCTGTGAACCCTGTGCTCTGTAAATCTTATTCTCCTGCTTTTGTGCTCGGCTTAAATCAGAGTAATTTCTTAGGGTCAATAATATTGGCTGATGTGGTATTTCATCATGTGTTAGAGTGTTTTAACCATGTTATCCCCACACAAATGTTTTGGCAGTTGAGTGTTGACTTCTAGATTCCTAATACTGCTGTACTTCCTCAAATCCAGTAAAACTGAGCGCAAGTGTGCTGAGAATTATAAGAAGATCGTTGAAATATAGAGGATCACCTGTGCATTAGGTTTCAGGTTTAAGACATTTGAAAGTCCTGTTTCCTTCTCAGTAAGAAAGAGGCTCCTTGAATTTGATATCACTGGCATGTTCCTTGAACTTCAAGCTCTGATGTTTAAAGTTTTGTGGATGAGAAGTGAGCAGCAGGTAAACAGTCATGTCAGTGGGGATAGTTTCTTCTGAAATGTCTCTGAGTTCACAGTTTCGTACTGTGCCGTTTCATGTTGATTTTTTTTTATGTGTCTTTACACAGGAACTGACAACAGCTTTGGAAAAGAATCCAGATGATGCCGAACATTATTGTCAACGAGCTTACGCTTACATTCTTCTGCAAAAATACGCTGGTAACATCTTCAGACAGCGCTGAGCCTTTACCTCTTACTCAGAACCAACGCATATTTTAACGCCTTCTTTACAGAAGGTGTCTTCAATCTGAAGTCAAATACAGTAATAGGAGAAAGTGTTACCTGTAGCCTAATACATTACTTTTACAGTCAGTGCATCACTTTATAGTTTTCCTTGACTTTTTTGTTTCTCCCAAACTTCCAGTGAATTGGGTCTCCTGCAGTCCCAGCCTTCTGTTTGATTTTATCTTGGCAGCTTTTTTTAAAGTAGACTTAGGCAGATTTTAAGCTTTGCGTTGTGAACATTTTCCATCCTTATGTCTTTGGTGGAGACTGAATCCTGTCATGGTAGGAATGTGATAACTGAATAGTGCCTGGGAAAGAGATGAACTGAAGATTTGGTCTTTTTTCTTTCCAGCAAAAAGCAAACAGATTCACACTTCGAATCTAAGTAGGGGATTTAATTAGATGAAATTCATGTTACATCTTATACAGAGCTCTAGAGCTGAATGAAGGGTTCATCCATAGCAGTTGTAGCTAGATTTAATTCAAACGGTGTGATTTGTGTGTAAGCTAAGAAAGCTAGCGGAGTACAGCTTAGAAAACTTTTCACTACTGGAAGACTCACAGTTCAGTGCTTTTTTTAACATAGAATTATGTTCCTCACCTTTAAACTGGCTTCCAACAGATGCAGTTGCCGATGCAAAGAAGTCCCTAGAACTCAACCCCAGTAATGCTGTAGCACTCCTTAGAAAAGGGTACGTATCATGTATTGGTCATGGTGAATATTGTGATAATCTCTAGGAAAATACTAGTATTTGGATTATGGCTCCGTACAAGCTTTTTTCAACACCAGAAATGAATAGATTTAATGCCCTGCTGCTTGAAACCCATCCATAACAAAGAAGCGACTTAGTTTGGGCTGATTATCTTAACATTGTAGTAATTTCACCTGCAGACCTCTTAGGTGATTGAAATTCTTAGGTGTGTAGTTTTAACCAATCCAGTGTGTGAGGTAATGATGTTGTAATCTTCAGAATGTGGATTAGACCGAAAAGTAATTACTGTTTCCTTGTGTTTTTCTTCATTCATGTCAGGTTAGGTGAATATCATATCAAAAACTATGCATCTGCTTTAGAGGCTTTCAGAGAGGGCCAGAGGTTGGACAGTAAGTATTAACATTTCTTGTGTGCACAGTGCTACTTTGCTAATGAGGAAAAAAAAATAATGTGTTAGTTGAAAGTGAAGACTAAGGTGAGTTTTTTTGTGAGTGGGTTGGATTGGGTTTGGGGTTTTTAAGGCTAATGAAGTAGATGCCTGACTTGAGCTATCTGGATTTTATGCAGTCACTGCATAAAAGTGTAAAACTGCTTAAAAATGTGGATCGGTGTTCTTAGCAAGTAGTATATGACACATTTATTTTTATTTCTTTAAAAAAATGGGGATTATTTTCCTGTTTCCAGGAGGTCTTACAAATAAATGGTGGCTATGCTGTGGCATTAAGTGTCATAGAAAAGTTCCTAAGCAGAATGGACTCCTTATACATAGCTGGAATTTTTTACTACTTAAACTATGCAATAGACTTTAGAAAGAGCGTACAACTTGCCGAGTCTTCAAACTGACAAAATGGTTTTTTACCTCACGTTACGTATCAATTGCAAAAACATATGCGTTACATCTCTTTTTTTCTTAAAGTATTGGCTTCCTGGTGGCACTTTTTAGTTTAGGGGCAATTAGACCTTTTTAAAAAGCTGACTTTGTTCTAGAAGCAGGAGGGGAGTAGCTTAAAACAGAAAGCTTTGGTAGAAGACCCGGGGAAGCATACAACAAAGAAATTGCAAGATGGGTGTGACTCCCTTCTCTTCCCTCGTATTCTCCATTTCTTCACATTCCATTCCTTCCCTTCCCAACAGCAGAAAGAAATGGTAAGAATCATAGAATGCTAGAACGTTAGGGGTGGGAAGGGATCTCCAGAGCTCATCTAGTCCACCCCCCCTGCCAGAGCAGGATTCCCTAGGGCAGCCACACAGGAATACATCCAGGTGAGTTTTGAGAGTCTCCAGAGAAGGAGACTCCACAATCTCTCTGGGCAGCCTGTGCCAGTGCTCTGTCACCCTCACAGTAAAGACATTTCTCCTCATGTTGAGGTGGAACTTGCTGTGTTCTAGCTTATACCTTGGCCTGTTGCTGGGCACTACTATGAAGAGACTGGCTCCTTCCTCTTGACCCCCACTCCTCAGGTATTTATATACATTAATAAGGTTCTGTCTCAGCTGTCTCTTCTCAAGACTAAACAGCCCCAGTTGTCTCAGTCTCTCTTCATAGGAGAGATGTTCAAGTGCCCTGAGGAAAAAAAACGTGCCTTGAGAGGTTACACGGAGCATTGTCGTGGTCTTGGATATTATGTCATCTTAGCTGTAACTGTGGCTGGGACCCGAAGGTTTAGCAAAACTTTTTTTACTTTGCCTCTCTCCAAGAAGCAAACACATCCTCTGATCTGAAACTGGAGTTCCATGGGAGCATAGTCTAATATGTGCTTGCTGCCTAGTGGTGGGGCTCCTTCCTACTCTTATTCTTGCTTAGCCTCTTCTTTCAGTGCACTAAGGCTGCAGAAAGGTACTACTTTTAAAATATTTTTCCCCCTGGATGATATGTTGAAATGGCCCAACTGAATGGTCTGAGTGCTCAAGCCTTCGGTAGTGAAGTGACAGAGCAGTGTTGGTGCAGCGAGTAGTGGTGGTGGAAAGGGTATGCGGTGGGAACACAGCGACTGTTAGTTGTCAGCTTTGGCAGTAGGAGTTAAATGTAAGAAATTTCAGTTGTGGTAGTTTGGATAACTTGGTAGTCTCCACTAGTTTGTACACGAGGAGCACAAGTATAAGTGTATCTTTGCAATCTAGCCAAGTTCTCTGTTGTGAAAGGAAGTGACTTATTGTCACTTTCCTTGCTTGACTTTTCATACATCTCCAAACTCGACGCTCCTGAATTGAATAATTAATCTATTTTTTTTTTCATATTTTTGCCCCACTCCAAGCAACCAATACCAATTTGAGGCTTTTCATTTGCATGAATTTTGCCAATTTTTATAGTTTGTCAGATGGAGTTGTTCATAATACAGATTGTCCACAAAATCTCAAGACAGAGTGTCACTTTTTTTTTTTTTTCTCATTTCGTTTAACCTCACATCTTACTTACATAGCGGGGTGCAACAGCACACAGAACTGCAGATGTCTTTTTAGGTATGTCAGTGAATACCAGGATCCTCTTAGCCTCTTCAGAATCCCTGAAATACAGCCCATTTTTCCGCATTGAATTGCTCAGCTTCTTACCTGTTTGAGTTTAATTTGCTATTATTTCACTGCTTACCCAGTTGAAGTGTTTCTGAAGCTTTCCAGCCCTTCCTGATTACTCTCACATCTGAAGGCGGCTTCCGCTGTGCTTCCCGTGTCTCATTACAAAACTTGATGACCTGCTGTGAGATGAGGAGTCTCCTGAAGGCCTTTTTAAAAATGCAAGTTTTGCAGTTGATTCTGTTCCATAGGTCACCTAGTATGGTGGCAAGTTTATGTCCGTAGCGGAATGCACCTTTGCAGCTCTGTCGAGTGTTTGATGGATCCCAGGTGGAAACAACTGTGAGCGTAAGCGTTTTGGCAAAGCAGTTAACTTCGAGTTAAATGCATCTAGTGCAGAATGAACGAAGCGTAGGGGGGGAAATTTGCCGCATACAGCCGAGCAGGTGACAAAGGGAGAAGACTTCAGCTGTTGCTGCCTCAGAGAATTGCTGCAGTGGGGAGTTCTTTGCTGGCGAGGCTGTTTTCTTTGCTACGCGAGAGGGCAGAAGCGCACCGGTACGTGTTTCTGTTCCTTGCTGATGTAAGGGCTGATTTAAATCTTAATTTGGAAGGCAAACAGTGATGAGTTTCCTACTTGTGCTCATTACCATAGGTCTGAGAGGCCCAGAGTACCACAGCAAGCTTCCCATTACCCACCTACAGGGCTATCTAAATAGGGCTTGACGTGATGGATTGTTGAATGTTTATTCTATATAATAACATCAGGAGGCATGATTCTTTTCACTCAAACAGGAGACTAGACTTTTCTTGTATTCTAAGAGTTCGTAGATTTTCAGTAAGTGAAGATTCAGTTAGGTTTTCTGAATGAGAAAGTTAGCGTTAGAAGTTTTGAGGTTCTGTAGGAGGATTAATGATGCAATTATAGTGCACAAAAAACAGCCCAGTTTTTCCTCAAGTTATAAAATGTGCTGGGATGCAGGGAAA